ACTTTATCCCAGGTGAGATTGGGTGTCCATGGTTGGACAATTGGTGTGTAATATGTGACAAGGTGTCGGGTGCATTCAGGTACGAGTCTTTAGTCTCTTGTGAGAGCGGAGTTTGTTACCCTTTCCATTTGTTTTAGTCCTGGCAAGGACGTCGTTTATCGTGAGTCCTGTTTTCCATTTAGGAGTGGCGTGCGTCCGTGGATGGACGGACTCGTGTGTGGTTTGTTGTGCTGTTAGAGCTCGTCGGTAGAAGTCCTGGTTGGAGGGGTCGACTTACTTCTACGGAAGGAGGTGGAGTCTTTGGGTTTTGTAGTGCTTGTTCTGAGAGTGGTCTTGACCAGTGGTGTGTGAGGTACGAGTTGCCGAATAGGGATTGTGTGTTTCTGGTATCTGGTACTAGCGGTGGTGGTTAGGGGTGTGTTGTGAACTGTAAGTTCAAGGATGATTAAGTAATGTGATGTTAGTCATGTACTTGGGTGTTTTTATAGACGTTTGATTCGAGTAGTGTCTTGAGGACAAGTGTTGGTGTTGTTTGAGTGCTAAGCAACTAAAGGTGTGAATGTGTGGTTTCGTTGAGGAATAATGGGAATGATTGAATTTAGTTTCGAGATCTCAGGTATGAGATAGTCGTGTTGTGTGTTTTGACGAGGTAAGAATTAAATTGAATGATGTTATGGAATTGTCTACCTGGTATGGACGTTATGAAAAGATCAAAGAGCTTGTATGCTGATTGATGATTGTGGTATTTGGTGTCGCATTGCTTTTAGCTTGTTATGATTGTGTGATTAAGGCATGATTGGGATCCTTAGAGTATGTATATGACTGTATAGTTGTTGAGGTTATGTGGAACAATGGGTGGATAGTGAGTGGACCTCTTGGTTGTTTTGTGGATTGTGTGTTTGAGGTTTAGACCTGAGGACAGGGACGGCATCTGTGTTGAGATTGGATCGATGATGAGAATGGCCTGGCCAACCACTTCTCCTGAATCAGTCCCTCTTTAGCATGATGTCGGGTCAAAGGTCAATTATTGTTTCGATTTGTCAAGGATAATGAGGGCACGGTATTGCGTGTTATGTCGGCGTGATAGTGTGGTTTCAGGTGGTTAGTCTCGGGTGACAAGGTGTGTTAGGTATGACCAAGTGTCCGATAAAGGTTTATGGTGCTACCACTTGATTATCGAGGATCTTGTTTTGAAGATTCGTGTCTTAAATACAGGATAGTGCGCTTTACTGATTTGGTGACTAATGATTATATAGTTGTTAGGAGATTCATTATTTAGTTATCTTAAGGTTCTTAAGTATAATGATTGTCGTATAGTACGGTTAGTAGTCGTTGGTGCAAATATGTGATGGTCTGACAGAGATGTGTAGATTTGAGTTTGAGCTTGATTGTGAGATTGACGGGGTCCCTTGTTTGGAGTTTTGTGTGTCTTTTTAGGGATGAGTTGAGATTGGATGTTGTCATGTTCGATGGTCTAGTGACTGTTCTTCTTTCGGGCTCCGAAGCCTTGCGTAGCGGTGTAAAGTGGACCAGTGTCGGTTTTGAGTTGAGTGTCGAATCTAGTGGGTTTTGTGTATGATGTTGTGAGTCATTAGTACCCAGATAGAGTGGCGAGCACTAGGTTTGTGGCAATGGTGTGTGATTGCCTATTGACGTCCGGTGTCACAGACAATAAGGTTGGTGAGCTCATAGTCCTGCGGTTGGGTGAGGTATTTCTCGGAAAGGTGTGTGATTCTGGGTCTCCTTCTTAAAGGAAGGTAGATTTTGAGGATAAAATCTTTTAAGAATGGTAGATTGTAATATTTCTGATTTTACCAATTTTTCAATTTTTAGAAATTTTTTTTTTAATTTTATTTTATGAATTATTTTAATCATTGTCTCGTTTTGCGTGCCAAACATTGTGGGGTGTGCCGGGTGAGTTCCTAGAGTTGGTTGAAGCATTTCCTTTGACTTCATGACTCTTGGAAATGTATCGTTTGTCATTTTGGTATTTTTTTTTAATTTTTCGGGCCGAGAGGTCCCAGACGTGACCTGTTACTCGAGTTGTTGAGCACGGGGACTGTGATTTGAGTTTGTGGCATTTAGTGCATTATTATTTGTTGAATAATTACTTGGTTATATATGTGTTTACAGTTGTGGTTGTGATACATTTTATATATATGTGTATATATATGAAAAATGTTGAAATTATATATATAATTTTTTTTTAAACAGTGGGACCCACCACTATTGTTAAGCCATTATAATGACCTTATATGGTCATACCAGACCATCTGCTCTATCTCTATCTCTCTCTCGCGCAACACCTCTCTCTCCTTTTCGTTTCTTTTTCTTTTATTTTTAAGCTTACACTTTTCCACCTATTTTTCGGCCAATCGGTTGGGAATCTGATCTTAGTTCCTTGACGGAAAACGTTTTTCTCGTCGTTCTCTATCACATAGTCAAAGGATTTAATTTTTGGAGAAGTGGTGATTATTTTACGAATTTTTGAAATTTTTGGATCTAAGGCTTCGGATGAGATTTTGAGCCACTTGAAGTCAGATTCTAGAGCTGACCCTTTGGAATAGTAGAATCACCTCATCGACGACTACATTCCCACCAAACAGTTTTCCGTTCCGCAGCCGTTGACCGGCGTTGACTTTTGTTGACCGGCATTGACTGCGTTGACTAGCGTTGACTTTTCCGGCCGGGGATATATTTTGGTTACTTTTGAGGTAGGGGTGCTCTAATTTACAATTTCTTAGGTTCTATGTGAATTTTCCTTCTTAAATTGAGTATAAGCATGTTTAATTTCAATTATTTTGACTATGTGATTGTGCTAGATTATATGTAAAGTAGTGGATGTATGCTATGTGATAAATGAGTTTGTAAATTTAGTTACATCTTTGTAGTGAAGAAGCATGCTTAGAAATGACAAGTTGTTTACTTTATGTATTTCAATTGCCAAGAAAATTTGATGTCATGATCGTAGAAATAAATATTTAAAATATTCTTTTACAAATTGTGATTATGATATGGGTAAAATGTATGGAATATAGTTGTTGAATTTGGCATTTGGAATCATGAAGCATTTATGCATCCATTGGGAAAGAAAAAAATGGGAAAAGTATATTTTTTAAAAACCAATGAAATTATTTTGGAGAAAAGTTTTTGAAAAGTGTTTGTGAAAACCCGGACGCCTAAGAGGCGCCTAGTGGTCCGTGGTGTTAGTGTGGTCTAGAGAGGGGACTAGGGAGAGACCCTAGTGTGGTTGAGTTAACCAGGCCGAATGCGACGCCTTGGAGGTGCCTTGTGGTCGTGGATGGTTAGTCAATCCCCCTTTCGTGACGTCTTGAAAGTGCTTTGGGTCGGATTACACTAACGGTTTGGAAGGTTTCGAAAACGTGGAGTGACATTGCATAGCATGGCACATAATTGGCATACGTGGTGCATTTGATAATGGGTTGAGATATGTATGTTTGTTGATGATACAGTGGCTTTACTTGACCTTGAGATATGATCCCGTTCTCTTGCTTTCTATTCTCTATGTGGATTCACGGGGTCATAAGAGATGTGTTTTAGACACTTCCTATTGAGCGTTTAGCTTACTCCATCATTTTAACATTTTTCAGGACGCGAATGGCAGGTGGCGGACGACGCTCCTCCACATAGTTCGATGGGTTAGTAGACCGTTTTGACATACTTTGTAGCTATAATCTCATTTTATTATTTATTTATTTATTATTACTTATTTTTTTTATAAACCCGGAATGACACGTATAATATGCATTGACGTAGAAAAGAATGGTGTTGTCCCTAGTTGACCTCGGTTTCGGTTAAGAACCCGGCTAACTATTTGGACCTACGGGTTCGGGTGGTTATAATTATTAAGTTTGAATCACAACTTAATCAACACAACAGTTTACACACTGCATTACTCACGTAACTCACATTATTAAATTGATAAACAAAAAATAATAATAAATAAATAAATCCTTACCACTTGTAAAAAAAAATTAATAAACTAGTACTTAATTATGAAGATTGAAGACATGTAAAGCTAGTACAAGAAATGATGAAAACTGTAGCAATTTTGAGCTACATATATATGTACAATTTAGTGTAACACAAAGCTAAACCTAACAAAAATATAGACATGTAAAGATGTCAGTTATTAAACTATGGTGCCAGGGTTATTAATGTCACTACCTTCAGTTGAATATGTTCTTCATGGCTAGCCTGCAGCTTGATCTGGAATTATTATTTTTATTAAAATTTTCCTTTGCTGTTGTGTTTTTAGTCTTTCTTACTGTTGGGATCACCTTTTTTGGCTGACTATATATATATATATATGCTTGTATAATTTCTTCGTATACATAAAATTCGCTTACCTTAGGCACAAAAATTACTAAAATACTACTTTCTTTGCATATAATCCAAAATTTAAATGATTTATGCCATAAAATTAGACTTGAGGAGTCATTAAGAATTTCTTTAATTCATGTGTATTAATCAGTTTTCATATCCATGATCAAAAATTGAAAAGAGCAATATATATATATATATAGATATGTTCACCAACAATTGTTTTGCCATATATCTTTATGAAATGAAATGAGAATCTCACGACCATACCATAAAAATAAATAAATAAAATAAAAAAAGAATGTTATGGGTTTTCAACACAATTAAACCATTGGCTTCCACCGAATATCTCTGAATTATGATTTAAACCTCTAACATAATTATATGGACATGACTCTAACTTAATTATATAGCCATTTTGTTGTCCAACGGCTCATTTAGAAACTTTAAACATAATGTTTCTAAAAAATAACAATAATAATGGAAAAAAAATTAGATAAAACTTGTTTAAAAGTAGATCTGAAAGAAAAAAAAATTAAAGAAAACTTGTTTTCAAGTAGATCTGAAAGAGGAAAGACAAAAAAAATCGACTTCTTGTTGTTTCAGAATAGATCTGAAAGAGAAAAGACAAAAAAATTTAAAAAAAAGTAGAAAACTTACTTCGATTGTTTAAGGTTTGTGTTCTTTGCTGGTTCGCTTGAAGTGTAAACTGTAGTGTTCTTGGTCGCTCGAGGTGTGCTGGTGTGGTGTGGATTTGAGAAAAAGGAGTTATCTGGCAGTCTTTCAGAGAGAGAGAGGAAAGTGGAGAGGCCGAGAGAGAGACTGAAGGGTGAAGGCGCCGCGTAAGGTAAGACTGAAGAGTTGTCTGGACCGTCTGGTGTTGAATCTGTTGATATATTTTGTATAATAGCGTTAATAATGTTTCTTGTGTAACAATAAAATGACCAAAATGTCCCTAATAATCAGGTCAAAACAAGTAACCGGTTAGACAGGTTCACGGATGACACATTTAATTAAACGGGGTTATACAGGTTGAGCCACACAAACCCGAACACGACACATTTAACTAAATGGGTTATTCGTGTCAACCCGTTTACGACACGAACCCGTTTATGGTAAACCCATTACCCATTTAACTCGTGTCGTGTACATGTCGTGTTGGCGAGTTGTGTCAAACTTTGCCACCCCTAAGAATATCATAAAGATGATACAATCCATATTCAAAGGGTAATCCTTGTGGAATCTTCCACCACCACCGTGGATAATGTTGTTGCATACTATAACTTATTGCAGCTTTGATTTCCACACGCTCAACCCCACAGTCATATTTGCATCTCATAATTAAATCCAGCTTTTCCTTCGAACTGAGATGCATGTTTTGGTAATAGAATCTTTTTATCCACAAAAGTACGGTGCTGAAGCAGATGAATGAAATGCTGGAAATCCATGGGCACATCAGTAAAACATATTCCAAAATTTTCTTTAACTATTCGGGCCAGACGATTGTAATCATGTTGAAAGTAGCCATGCATAAAATATATTCGGTCTCGATTGTAAATGCTTATAACATTATAGCTTTGGATCAAAACAATTAGCACCGCACAATCATTGACGATGAAAATGTCAAGATCTATATCCTAATCTCTTGAAGTAACCAACCATCGGTTGTGAAGTTTAACTAGAATCTTTATCAAATACAAAATACCATCTTTTACTTGGTTGGTGGCTGCCACCAAATTGTAGCCTTCATAAATTTGATTGGGTCGTAGAAGCAACTCCTCCGATATAGGCCAGTTCCAAGGTGCAAAGTATGTGGTCGAAACAATGACACACATGCGATATTTTCAACAACTTCGTATAAAGTATTATTAAAGAAGAAGAAAGAACAACCAGTACTGAAGTGGGTGGTTGTCTCATAAAAATCATTATGAGTAAATGGTAGCATCTCTCGAGAAAAATAAATCAGAGTTACCATTGAAAATGCAAGATCAATAATAAAAGAGATGATGTATATATGACTGTAATTGATATATTGAATCTATGTAATGAACAATTGTACAAGGCTATTTATAGCCATAACTCAACAAATAAAAAGCTTGGGACAAAGCCAAACACATGGCATGAAACGAGCACCACTAACACATTGAAAAGAAGCAGGAAACAAGTAACAAACAATGACCCTCAATTTATGCCAACAAATATTAACCTAAAGAATATATAGAATATATAAACACAAATCTGATTTCTAACACTCCCCTCAAGTTGTAGCAAAGATATCAATCAAGCTTAGCTTGAATATATCAAGATGTGAAACAATCGTATCCTTTCCACAATAAGACTGCAACGCTACCGAACACACCGACAACTCAAATAAGGCAATAAATACTGTTGAAAATATGAAAATGACGAAGATAATGCTACCGAACACATCATAAGCCGAACAAGGCAAAGGACGATGCTGTCGGTGTGTTTGGTAGCATTGTCTTTTGCCTTGTTGGGTATGCTAAGGGTCACTCAGTACCGTTTGTGCCTTGTTTAGGCTGCCGATCTGTTCGGTAGCATTGTCTTTTGCCTTGTTGGGCTGTCAGTGTGTTCGGTAGCATCGTCATTCGCTTTGTTGGGCTGCTGATGTGTTCGGTTGCATTATCTTCGCTGTTTCCATATCTCCAACAGTATATATTGCATTATTTGGGCTACCGGTGTGTTTGGTAGCTTTGCAATCTTATTATGGAAAGGATACGATTGTCTCACGTCTTGATATAGTCAAGCTGAGCTTGATTGATATCTTCGCTATAGCTTGAGGGGAAGTTTTGGAAATCAGATTTGTGTTTATATATTATATTCTTTAGGTTAATATTTGCTGCCATAAATTGAGGGTTAATGTTTGTTGCTTGTTTCCTACTATTTTTTCATGTGTTTGTGGTGCTTGTTTCATGCCATGTTTTTGGCTTTGTCCGAAGCTTTTTGTTTGTTGAGTTATGGCTATAAATAGCCTTGTATAATTTTCATTAGATAGATTCAATATATCAATTACAATTATATATGCATCATCTCTTTCATTCTTGATCTTGCATTTTCAATGGAAACTCTAATTTATTTTTCACGAGAGATGTTATCATTTACTCATAATGATTTTTATGGGACAACCACCACTTTAGTGCTGGTTGTTCTTTCTTCTTCTTTAATAATATTTTATGCAAACTTGTTGAAAATATTGCATGTGTATTATTATTTCGACCACATACTTTGCACCTTAGGAACTGGCTTATATCAGAGGAATTACTTTTACGACCCAATTCAATTTATAAAGGCTACAATCTGGTGGCAGTCATTGACCGAGTAACGACTGTTATTTTGGATTTGATAAAGACTCTATCTAAACTTCATAACTGAGGGTTTGTTACTTCAAGAGATTGGGATATAGATCGTGACATTTTCGTGGTCAATGATTGTGCACTGTTATGATAGAAAGCTATGATGTTGGATACATTTACGATCGAGACCGAATATATTTTTTGCATGGTTGCTTTCAACATGATTACAATTGTTTGGCTCGAGTAGTTTGAGAAATTTTTGGGATACGTTTTACAAATATGCCCATGGATTTCCAGCATTTCATTCATCTGCTTCAGCACCTAACTTTTGTGGATAAAAAAACTCTGTTACCAAAACATGCATCTCTGTTTGGAGGAAAAACTGGATTTAATTATAAGATGCAGATCTGACTGTGGGGTTGAGCGTGTGGAAATCAAAGCTGCAATTAGTAAGGGTAAAATGCATAAAACCCCCCAAAACTATCTTCTCTTTCAAGAAACCCCCTTAAACTATTAAATGGACACTTAACCCCCTAAACTATCTCATTTTTTTGCAATTAACCCCACACCGTCAATCATCCGTTGAATTCCAAACGATATGGAGTCACGTGGCCCACACATTATTTTTAAATGACGATTCTGCCCTTTTGACTGTTATCCAGTTTCTTAACCCAATTTTGCCCCATTTTCGTCTCCATGTTCAAGGTAGGAATAAAACTTTAACTTCTTCATAATTCCATGATGCTTTGCACTTCTTCACAACATTTAGCTCTCAAGATCTCTCTCACCTACAATTTTTTTTTTAACCGTTCAAGTCCTACAACTCTATGCTTTTCATGAATTTTTACACCATGAATGTCTATCTTTCAAGATAAATTAAGTCCAGTCGCCGGACCTCATCTTCACGACTAGTACACAGACCATAATTTGATGAAGTTCAAATTTGGTTATGCTTAGTAAAAGCACAATCTATTGTCTCTTGAAATTTCCTCTAGGGTTTGAATAGAAGCTTCATACATAGCCATTAGAGTAGAGAGAGGGAGAGAGACATTTGCAGAGAGAGAGAGCTATAGATTGTGCTTTAAATTTTAGCTTATTGCATTCATTGACCGATCGGAGAAGCACTTTAGCTGAATTCAAAGCAAAAAATTATCAAATGATTCGAGTCCTCAAACCTCACAGTCGCCAAGCTCTTCGTTGTCGTTCTTCAATTTCTCAAACAGAGGGCTCAATAGCTTCAGTTTTGGAACCAAATTACCATAAATCTTCTTCCAGGTGTGAGGCACTCGGGCAGCTCAGAAATATCCCTTACGGTCTTACTGAGTTAACCCACCAACGCGTCCTTAGCATCGTCCATTGTAACAATATGGATCACCAAGAATTGAAGATTTTTAAGCAATTGAGAAAGACCCATATGAGATAATTACTTGAATTTTGATGAGGTTTTTTTGCTCGATGAATCGACTTTCCTACTTGACAAACACCTTTAAGAGGCTAAAAAGTACAAAAAAAAATATAATGTCTCGGTGTAAATTCAGAAACCCAGATGAGAAAATTGGTTGAAATTTCTGGTTGAGGTGAGAGAAAATGAGGTATGAATGCACAAAAGAGAAAGCAAATGATTGGTTTTGGATAATGGGTACAGGGTGTGGTGTGGAACGAAGTGTTTGGCACTAAAATGAGGTAGTAGTGTGTTGGGTGTTGTTTTGCTCTAAAATAAGTTATTGTTAGGCGGTGTTTGTGGTAAGATTTGATGTGCTGTTGGATTTCTGTTGGCCTTTGGGATTTCATTTGACACATCATAGACACTAACAAAGTAACAAACACTGTCTTTCTGCTAAAGGACAAATTGGTAATCTTCTATCTCCTTTAACAGCAACTTAACACCGTGTCCTTAAATACAACTTTTTAATAGTTCAAAGGGGCAAGTCTTAGTATAGAGGGATTTTTTGCGCATTGGCTGATAATTTAGGAGAATTTTTTACCCTTCACCCCGATAAGTAATAATATGCAACAACATTATCCATTGTGGTGGCTGAAGATTCCATAAGGATAACCCTTTGAATATGGATTGTATCATCCTTATGATATTCCCGGCCTAGTGTTCAATGGGGAAGACACGTGGCCAAAGGAGACAGAGAATAGGGGATGTCCCTTCCACCAGATGAGCGTGGGTTGCCTTTGTTTGTAAGGAACGTCTTCGGTCATATAGTTGATATTGTAGTAAGGGTGCGATGTGGACTGATCTAGGGATTGGAAGAATTGACCCTAGATGTTCTTGATGATTGGCTGAACAGCCTCTTCCCAGGGTTGGTTGCAGTTCAGCAAATTGCTTTAAGAGATGTTGGAGTAACACTATGTATTTTAACAGATTTTATAGATTTGGACTTCTGTCCCAAGGCTTGAAATTATGGTGCATGGTCTGTTGTTATTTATTATTATTATTATTATTATTTTTTTATAATAAAGGTAATTGTCATTCTTAGTAGTCAAATTACACTAGACACATTCCAAAGATCCAATATTAGGACCCAAAAAAAAAAAAAAGAAAAAAGAAAAAGCAAACCACCTTAATTTCAAGACTTAGTACAAAAGCCCAAATCAATAAAATCTGTCAAAATGCAGTGTTATAACTAGGGGTAATGATTCATTCTCGAGTTTAATACAATTCAATCCAATTCGTACGAATATATAAAATTTAATAATATAAAATTCATAATTCACCAATAAGTTAATAATGGGCTTTTTGAGTCCCTAAAGGACAATAACAGAAGTGATTATAATTTTTTTTTTCTTTTCAAAAAATAAGTAATAAGCTATACATTGACACTATTCACATCAACTTTTCATACGTAATAAAGGTTAGTTCATTTGACTCTTATTTCGTAACTTAACACTTCAAACTGAACACCATCAATCTGTATTTTGGTTTGAAAAAGTTTTTTTCTTTTTTGAAAGTTAAAACAATTGTATATACGGTAAAATGCAAAAAATCACCCTCCTACTATATAAAATATTAAAAAAAAAAAAAAAAAAAAAACACCTCGGTTATTCAGTATGTGTTCATAAATATTAAACATTTGAAAATACTGGCAAATTTTCCTCTATTATCTGTTGACCGTTAATTTTGATCCAATTTTTTTTTTAATAAAAATTTTAAAATACCCTTAATATATAGAGAGAAATAAACCCCTTAAGAACTGAAATCATTATTTTTTATTATACCCTTAAGAACTAAAATTATTATTTTTTATTTTGTCTTAAGGGCATTTTAGATATTGCAGTATTCAAATTAACAAAATACCCGCAATATATCGGGATGTATTTGCACATTCGGTAGGTATATAAAAATGTGGTTTTTTTTTTTTTTTGTACTTTAGCCTTGTATATATGTGTAACAAATTTACAACGAGCCCATATAAAAAGGCCCAAGCAATATGCTGAGCAATAACAAAAGCCATAATTGCCTGAAGAGTCAGCCCAACTACGAGAAACCTAACCACCATTTGAAACAAGCCCAAAAGTTGCCCAAATAATCCAATCAAGACATACAAATTAGAATATATCAACTATATTATTCTTAATTTGCATTAAAACATTGCTGGTCTCTTTCTGTGAATCAACAATGCATATAATTTGATGTCAGATGCAACACCTCGTTTCATAAACCATATAAAAAGGATATATATATATATATATATATATATATATATATATAATCACACACACATATATATCAGGTATATAGGTCTCCAAAGCCAAAATGCACAACCATAAAACAGTTATTAATATAGGGACTTAATATATAACTACCCAACTTCTTCTCTTCTCAACCATTATCACTCTGCAGCACCAAGAGAAAAAAAACTCATTAGTCTATAGCTCTTCGGAAACAACTTTCACTAACTATTATATATATAAATATATACAGAAATGTTCTCTTGCACCCCCTTAGCAAGAAACTTATCTAGTGATGTTGAATATGATTATTATATTTTTTTGGTAACTATGTAACAGAAAGTTTTATCGGTGGGACGGTGTGCAAAAGATCATATATATATATATATATATATATATATATTATGATAAAAAGTAAAAACTAAAGATAATGATGGATTGTTACCATAGCCTGAAGGGGGATGGAGAGTGGGGTCTTGAAGGTTTGGCTGAGCAGGCTGGAGACTAAACGGGTAGAGCTGAAAAGGGAGGTTTTCAGTCTGCAGCTGAAGCACACCACTGGGCTGCTGCTCTTCTCCATTGAAAGGAAACTGATCCAACACTTGATGCTGCTGCTGTCCCACTAGTTTCAGCTCCGTCATCGCGTGCTGATGAATCTCCCGCTCTTCAGCTTGTTGCTTCTGAACATGATTGCTCATCAACTACTTAGACCAAAGTACTCATAATGTTAGTTAATTCTCTATTTATGAAGATAATTAAAAAGTTTACCATGTAAAATTAATTCATGATAATAACATTAATATTAGATGCAAAATATTGATTATTGGGATGTATTGGAAATAAGTAAAGATCATTTTTATATCAATAATTAAATTTTCACCAAAAGAGTTTTTACATCATTACATGGTTACCGTATATACTACTTATTATAAGCATTATTTTTAATGTATGGTGATTACTGCACTCACCCAATGGTACATATCTTGATTTTCCTTCTCCAGCATTTTCTCCTAAAGATTAAAAAATAAAGAAAATGTCAAATTTCAATTACTATATATATATATAGCGAGAGAGAGTAAAATTACCGTCCTCTGAAGGTTGTCCAGCTGCTGCTGCAAGAGCTGGAACTGTATACACAAGCAATTATAAATTAAAATTTGGTTATGTAAACTCAAATCGATTCCTCATATTTGCAAACAATTTCTTAGGGATCACGTACGTCCGCGGTCATAGTCCAAACTTTACACTCACCTTTTTTTACAGAAAACAAACTTATTCGCAAAACTCAAGCTACAGATAGCACAATGATAAATTATAGGACTATTGATTGTTTTACAAATTTTTTTTTTCCGAGGTATAAACCAAGTGATCATCTCAGCTAATTAAATAGAATTATAATGTGCTTAGATTGTTGCTAAAAGTCCAAAATGGAGGTGCAGAAAGCTTAATTAAAATGTGAAAAAAATGAATGATAGGAAAAAAATAATAATAAAAAAAATGTACCTTTCGAGCTTGAACCTTGTTGAGTGACTGTTCTAGCTGTCGCTCAAGTTCATCCAGATCATTATACCTCACAGAACTCAAATCTCCCTTATAGCATTGCAGACTTAACTCAAGATGATGTGTTTCCTTCCTCATCTTTGTCATCTCTTTGAATATTTCCTCCTACGATTTATTTGTGAAGAAAATAAATAAAAAATCTGAAACTTTACTTTGTATATCCAAGCCACGTACTTTTAGACTTAATTTGTAGATAATATGTCAGATTGGTGAGATTGTAATTACCCGGCTGTCACGCTCAGGGATACGAGTTTCTGTTACCCTCAAGTACCTTTCTATGATTTCCCCCATGCTAAAAATGCAAAGAAAAAGAAAAATTTATCAACTAAATTAATGAGTTGTAAGATATATGAAAAACAGCAACTCATGTATACCAGATATGAACATTCATAAGAATAATAAATAAATAAATAAATCAAGATGAAAGCTAAATCATTTATCACCAGCAGTGTGTAGTTGCTCGTACAGGATATGTTCCAACAAATTTTTTTTTTTTTTAATTCACATTTATGCAATTGCTTATATATATATATATATATATTTTTTTTTTTAAAAATAGTTTTTTCCCCAGTAGGTAAATGAATTATAGCAAGTTTTCTGTGAGGAGAAAATTATTAAACAAATTAATTTTGATTATGGCTTTGGCCTCTTGTATATATGATAGATATTTTCAATTAGTCATAAATATTCTTCATACCAGAGAAATAAAAATTAGTAAATTTTTTCTTCTTCTTTATTTTTATTTAAGCACAGGGTATGATTGAATTGCCATACCTACATATTATGATTATCGGATCATTGATCTAAGGATATAACTAATGAAGGAACTTGTCACAAAATTGCTAGCTAGAGGCAAAACTAAAATTAAGGCAAAAAAATTCATATATATATAGAAAAGGTTATTAAGAAACCCTAAGCAGAAGCAGGATTAATTTTTCATGTCTTTTTTCAATCCATAGATTTTCACATCATGAAAAATGCCTCATAAATTTCAGCTGTGTCAAGAAAAAACGAAAACACACACACACACACACACACACATCATGAAACAGGTCCACTTGCACATACACCACTATATTGAGAATTAAAAAAGAACACTGAAAACCCTTTATCAAATTACACCAAAGAAGGGACAGATAAATAAAATAATCCAAGAAATGAAGTTGTAGAATTAGACCTCAGTGGATGGGTGCAATACTCAAACAGCTTCCCTTTGGTTGAGAAGATGATGAGGCCGATTTGGGCGTCACACAACACAGAAAGCTCATGAGTCTTCTTTAGTAGCCCTCCCCGACGCTTGGAGAAGGTGACTTGCCTGCTAGTGCTGTTCTCAATCCTCTTGATATCTATCTTTCCCCTTCCCATAATTGTCCAACACCAGTACTCCAATATCTTGTTTCCCAGTTATAGGATATACAAATAAAACCCTTTTCTGTGCTTCAATTTCCGAGTTTATATGAAAAAATAAAAAAATAAAAAAAATCAATAATTAACCCTAAAAAGCCCCAATAAAGCTCCAGCATATATATAGGCGATGATTTTTGGTAAAAATTATATATAGAACACATATATATCTTAATTAGGATTAATTAGTTGTTAAAACAAAGAAGACTAGCTTGCAGATATATATAACAAACTTGTCATCAGAAAAGATCACAACACACACACAGTTTTAGACTTTGTCTACAAATACAAAATTAACCTTTTTCTGTGCATAAATTTTCACATTTATATGAAGAAAAAAAAAAAAAAAAACCCAATGATTAACTCTAAAAGACAAAACAAAGTTGCAGCATATAGGCAATGATTTTTAGGTAAAAATTATCGAACACACATACATCTTAATTAGGATTGAATTTATAGAACAAAGAGACTAGCTTGCAGACATATATTAGAAACAAATCTAAAAACACATACACACACAGACTTTGTATACCTATTCTTTCTTTGCTTTCTTGCAGGATTCAGACTTTGTGAGTTATGAGCTGATCATCTACTCCCTATATAGACTACCTTACCTCCCATATATAATGGCCCATCTTTCTTGGCAAATGACTTACCATGGAGAGAGAGAGAGAGAGAGAGAGAGATTATATGTCTGTGCTTTCACATGTACGTGTGTTTGGTACGTGTATGATACTTAAGATCATGTGGAAGAGGTTTTGTGATTGTATATACATGATATATATCCACACACTTGCATATATAATGTATGCTGTTTTGTACTCTTATCATTATTAATGCATGTTGTTACGTGAGTAATAAACATATATAGTACATACAAATATATGTAATGCTATAAATATCAAACAGACTCAATATAATCTTGCATTTGTGCTTAAAGAAGTTGAAGTAAGAAAAAAATCATCATGGGTGCTTTTAAAGGGGACCAAATGGCCGTTGGATGCTATTAATCCAATGGTACAGAGTGCTCAGTCCTCGGAGTACTGTGTGTTCATGCATGGGTAAGAAAATGATATACAAACCTATATTTTGTATATACAACTTTGGGGTATTGTAGTAATTTAGTCTGATCCTACAATTTGATTGTTTTGTGGTTTGGTACTTAATTTTTTTACATGTTACTGCAACACTCATATTTTGGTGACCAGGTGATCACTGATTGAGAAAATGGACGGTGCAGATCAATCATGTAAAGATCTTAACATCATGTGTTGCAATGAACTTTCATGCCATTGGTGGCATTACTTTAAATCCATGAAACAAACATTCCTATATTGTCCTTTTATATTATATATATGTGTGTGTAATGTGTGTGTGTGGGGGACAAGATGTTGTTGCTGTTGAGATCTGACCACCACTGCCCTATCTGCCAAAGCTACCTTCCTGAAATTTGCCAATTTCAGAAAGTTTGAATTGTGGTCACTGGCCATAGATCTAGGGTTTGGTGTGGCCAAAGACTTTAACCCTAAAAAATAAAAATAAAAAGCAGTGGAATTCATAGCAATGACAGTGATGGATGATGAAGTGCAAGTACTGGCTTTACACATGATCACCAGCAAACTCAAACTTCATTAATTTTCTTGTGCCAGGTTCAAGATCGAAAACCTAATCTAACACTTGCAATTCATCTTCACTTCGAAAATTTTCATCTTGATATATAGCTGCAATTAATTAATGAACACCCCTAATCAATCTCATTTGAATATGTATATGCGTATATAGATATACATATTTCGCTTTTTTATTATATATGCCCTAGTTCAAGAAGTTAGTGCAAGAATTCTTCAATAATCAAGTTTAATTGCTAGGACAATATCACAATACACATAAAGTAGCTCATTTTCTTATGAAATTCTAGATACATATAAAGCCTTTGATTTTGAAAAAAGAAAAGAAAAAAGATGTTCCATAATCATTGGGTAAATTAAATTGCAATTATTGGATTTTTCAGTTCTTCCAAAAACAAATTTGTGTTTGGTTAGGCTTATTTTTCTACTATACTAGTTTTTTTTTTTTTTTTAGTTAAAGGGTAAGCTTGTAAAAAAGAAGAAAAATGTACAAGAGGGACCTATTAGATAGGAAACAACAAGATGCACAACAGCTGCAGAGTCCCAGCGAAAAACAAGTGATAGGAATCTAGACCTAGCAAGCAAAATACAAAAAAGGCTACAGACTCAGCCTTCTGCAAGCTCAAGTAAACCTAATGCAATACAAACATAAGAAACAACCATCCAAGTAAGCATCTACTAGTAAATACTTCCATTGAAGGCGACCAAGTTTAAGGGACAATTAGAGCCTGAGCACAGGCATAGCTGCATCCATCCAAGAACGGTTTCTGCAAGTCTTCAAGTCTTCTAACATTCCTCAGATCAGAAGCATTCTTTAGCTTAATTGAGGCTAATCTTCCTTTTAAACATTTCTTTATCTGAGAAATGACTGAAGTTGGGGATGAGAATGTGTTCCTGAAGGCCCTATTATTTATTTCCATCCATAGAAAGTAGACAGCAGCAGAGAGTAGTAACTTATGCACCAGAAAATCATTAGCACTCCAATGAGCAGAACACCATAAGATCAATTCTTTCCAACTAGATGGCTGAATGTACAACCCAATTGTGTGTTGAATGAATGACCACACCACCCTTGAGAACTCACACTGGAAGAATAGATGGTCCAAGGATTCATTGTCGGCAAGGCAAAGAAAGAATAGATGGTCCAAGTTTTCTGCTATACTAGTTGGTCATGGAAAGATCACATATTTAAAGGAATAAGCCAATTATCTAAAAAAATCATGCTCTCTCATTTATTTTTCAAATACTCCTTTTCTAGTCATATTTGAAATCACTTCAAATAAATTTTGTGATTTTTGTACCTTCCCACATGATTGGAATCCCTTATTGGTTGGACTTATGGAATGTGGTTTTTGGCTAAGGGCTCCCCTAAATTTCCCATTTCCAAGTTTTGGTGGGTTTTTTTATTTTTTTTTTTTTAAAAAAAAATTTTCATTTAATTAATTAGCACGAAAAAATTAAACGACAGACTATTTTTGCAATTATAGTTTTTCTCATCTTTCTGTTATCTCTTTCATTTTTGAAATCATTAGACTCCCCTTTTAAGGCCGGTCTCAATAAGAAACCAATGCATTTGGTAGGGGTGGTCAGGGGCACCCAATAATTTCTCGTAAATTACAATCTTTTTAATTTACTAAAAACAAATTAAAATAAAATTTCATGTGTAAAACCCATTATAACAGAAATACTAGAGCTCTTATATTTGCATACACTTGTTTTAGTTTAATATCTCCCTTGAAAAATCTTTACCCAAAAGCGACAGAAAATAAAAATATTATAATTGGTATTTTTTTCTAGCATCAATTAAATATTAGATGTCTATGAATTGTTTATTATTATTATTCTCGTTTGTTTCTTTTTTGCTTTGACCACTCGAGTTGAAGAGGGTTAGTTTGTGAAATCCACATTGTCTTCTACCTAACTCTAGTTAGACAATATATGGTCCCCTAATTTAGTCAACAACATAAATTTACTCGCCTCCTGCATTCAATGGAACCTATTCACTGAACCCGTACATATGCATCTCTCTCTCTCTACATATATAGATATACATATACATATACCCTTTTGGTCAATAGACACATGACAGTGGGGTTGAAGTCATGATTAATAAAAACAGAACTTCAGTGGTAAGAATAATAAGAACATTATGTCTACTTTAAATGGCTACCTGTGATTTGTGGTGGACCAGGGAAGTTTCACGTCCATTTCATGGCTCGGACTCAAATTCACATGGGCTTCGCAGTACCCTCAATGCCATGAAACAACTACATGTTTGTGCGTGTGTGTGTAAAGGGAAGGGAGGATATCTACTGTTGCTATCTTTGTCATGCTAAAAAGTAACGCATGAATACATATACATACATACTACATACATCTGTACACAGATAGATTAGCATATATTATCAGAATTCAAACCTCATGGAGATATCTATCATTTAAGACCAAAGAAGGCAATATATAAATAAATAAATAAATATATATATATATGCCCTAACATCGCAATCTCATTCACAACTACAATCACTCTCTCCTGGATAGGATTTGAATTCTATGGAATCCTTCCCAACACAGATTTTGCAATGTCTTTGGTATAAGGGGCTCTAATACTTCCAATGAGAGGAAATCTTAAGTCAAAACATTTTGCAACATTCTAACCCCTTGATTGATTGCAGGGACTTCAGCGCAATCCAGAGATTCTTGCACCTAAATTACCGTGTTATCGGTATTATCAACCAATTATATCTCGTTACATAAACAAGAATACAACCATTTCTGGTAAAGCTAACATTTCCATAAAATCACAGAGTCCAGGCCATGCGGTATTACACAGACAATCCAGGTGCGCCCGTTGCAACCAAGTTTTTCCACCAATTGTGATTTCCCAAGGTCAAAATAGTCCAAGAAGGAAAATATCTTTCAGATTCTTCAACTCTTGGTGCTCTAATGAAGCTTTCCCTTCCTTCCCACCATTGCTGAGTCTTGGACAAGGGTATACCAGGGGAACACCAAGTTCCAAGTTGTTATGATATTGAGCCCGAACAACCAGATAACTACTAGTGTTTTTATGTGAGGGGGCTGACGTCATCATGATGGCTGACGCCATGATGATATCATCCCCCACTCACAATCATCCCCCACTCACGTAAATCTCGGACTACATATCATTTTCCAAACAATAATATTAGGGATGAAATGCCAGAATACAAGAGAAAATTTTCAGCACCTGATCAGTCGGTCATGATAATTATCACGGTACTCCTGTAACCATTGAAAAGGTCAATGCTAAGAAAAATATTAAGCAAATTCATTCTAGCCATCTATGTTTAAGTTCTCTGAAATGTGGTAAATAATTTTTTGATTTACAACAAACACAATTTACATATTCAATTCCTTTTGTAGAAGATATATATGCTTTCCCAAGTCCCTGTAAGAACAAAATAATGATAAAAGGGATGAAATTTTAGAATGGATGAGATTTACTTCAGCGCTTAATCAGTCACCATGATGATTACCATTACTCTGCTGGGGATTTTTCTCTTTCCTGTATGCATTGAATAGATCAATGCCAAGATAAATATTAAGCAAATTCATTCCAGCCATCCCAAACAGAGCGAGTGGGAGCGCCACACCCCTTTCAAACTTGTGAGCATCTTTGATCAACTTGGCAGTGATAAGAACATGAGATATCAACCTTGCGAAAATAAAGGCGGCCCAGTTAAGAACCCATTCTGCCTCCACGATTTTGCTCTTGGCATCACGTACACCAGCCATCCGTCTCACTTTCCTCGCGTGCAGAAAGATAGAATGCACCTGTAAGATAACAGCCATTTTAGTTTTAGAGTTATATATAGAAATATATAAGCAAGCTTAGAAACAATATGGTTCAACAAATTCTACATATTTAGCAATTTCAACTAGTCTGACTGCTTCTCAAACCATTTTGGTTGTAAGGAGAATGAGATCCTCTGTTGTGTCAGTCCAATGTATGAGCTACAGGTAGGGATGAACCGATTGAATGTGATTCTGTTGGAATTATTGGCCACTCTAGAATGCATTTCAATCGATTGGCCAAAAGCCAAAACCAGTTGAAATTCATTAATTTCTGGAATTCATTAATTTTGTTCCAGAATGTTTTGGATCTGGAAATCCCAAAACCGGTTTCATGTGTTTAAATCCAAAATGGAAATTGTTTTCAAGACAGACCATTTCCAAATTCTACCTAAACTCTTCCAGACGTCCTCTAATATTTTTACAAGACCTTTTTAGTACTTTTAAGGACTCTCTCTCTAGCTTATAAATAACTAAATTTTGTTAAGGATTTGAGACATGAGCATTATTGAATACTCTTGTGAGTTTTTAAGAAAAATCAAGCTGAGATTTTTTGAGTTTTAATTCTTTGATTTGAGCACACACGTTCACGTTGAGTGTTTAGTGTGGTATTCTACATCTAATTGATCATATCATGAGCTTTGCTACGAAGTTACTCAGTTCGATCACAGCAGCAGACTTCAACGTATCTTCACACGATTCTGTGGAAGATGTGATTGATTACTTAGAGAAGCGGATCATCGTGAGGTGATTGCATTTTCGTGGATTAGTGTTGCTGGTGATTCTGAAAGCACTGAAGTTGGAGAACAGTAGGCCACTGAAAGTTGAAGGTAAAGTAATGGCAGGTGATTCCAAAAGTAATGGAATCAGCAACTCGTGGAGAGCAGTACCCGAAGCACTGGAGTCCCTTGTACTCTTTCTTCGTATAGTGGATTGTTTCGCCTAAGACAGCCAATCTCTGTTATTCTTCCTCACCAAAAAAAATAAAAAAATCACGATATCTTTTCTCTATTTTTATTTATATGATTGTGTGTTATTGATTTATTTGTGCTAAAAATCGGAAAATAGTCTAAAAATCAATCAAGCGAGCAAACCAAACCTATCCCCTTCTACTCTAGGTCTTCTTAATGAGATAAACTTCCACGCCACTTCCTCATGGTGCAACTCACAAGTTTTGATGATGTTTCTCACGGGCTTAAGGAAACTGAAGGATTTCAGAATGATAAAGCAATTTTCCAAGCAAAAGCTTTACACAAGAAGGGCACAAGAGGAGCCTGCAACAACTAAAAACAGGACACAGGACAACACAATATAATTTAGAACAATGCTATTTGTGATTAGGTTTATTGCGAGTATAAAAGTCTAGGTTTTGGAATTCCAAAAGTAGAAGAAAATTCAAATGTTCCCAGGTGGAAAATTTCGTGGTCCTAAAAATGATTGGTTGATGTTATTTCAAGAATTAGTTGCTAGATATTTTCGACAGCAATTACTGTACGAGTTTTGGTGCTTAGGGTAAGGCTAACAGAAATAGGGTTTTGGGATGAACACTAATGAAATTAACAGCTAATTGCACAGAATCAAGAAATAAGGTATTCTAGAAATGTCACCTATGATACCTTAGTCTCCACCACTACAGCTAAAGTTGGATCTTATAATCACTCAAAGCTTCAAAAACCACTCATAAATTCTCTGAACTCAATTCCATTGGATCAAGGGTAGGTTTAGACTTTTCTTTAATTGTAGTGCTAAATTTCACTGCAATTCAAGTCATTTTATTAATTTTATTTTTTGGGAGTAATTACACTTTAACACCATTTGAGGTTTTCCTTAATTACACTGCATTCTTCCATATCAAGAAAACGACGACATAGCTACTATAGGCTTTCGCACTAGTGCGCTCATACATTGCTTGTTTGCTTGTTGGTTTCAGCTCTAGCCTCTAGCTCATCCCTTACCGAAAGAAATAAGCTGCTATCTTTGCAAAAAGCTACACTAACACCCTTGGGGCCTTGTTAGAGTTAATGACATAATGAACGTTAATTGTTTGTCTGAAATGTCATTGTTGCCCTTCATTTAAAGGTAATTTATTAATCAAAAAAAGGGCTAATTGCATTAAACCCCACTCAATTATGACCCGATTGCAAGAAACCCCCTTGAATTAAAAATAACCCCCTGAACTATAAAAATGTTGCATTTCAGTACAATCCGTCAACCAGCCGTTAACGAAAAATTAAAATTACCTTTAAGCCCTTTAGTGGAACGACGACGTCTCTGTGTTAATGGGAATTGATATGTTGACGTGGCAAGGAAATTTCCAATGACCAATAGAAAAATGACAGCACAAATACTAACGTTATCCTTACACAAAAAGGGGCACCAAAGTGACCAAACAAACCCTTACATCAATTTATGGCACCAAACAATTCTTCCCCATCTCTCTTTCACACACATGGCGTCGTGGAAAATGCTTCTCTCAGTCAGATCTAACAACAGCGACAGCAAAGGGATCCTATCTAGGGTTTTGAGTGCTATTTCGCAGTCGTGAATCGTGTACCGAGGCAAGCAAACAAACGTCGAACGCTGCCTACGCAACGATGCGCCTGATGAAGAGCACCGAAAAAGGGCACCCGGATCGCCGGCATGACGTTCCTCATCCTCGTCTTGCGCTTATCGTCGAGATGGATCGCGGTCAGCAGCTCAATGAGCTTGCCTAGTACGAATTGCCCTCTTAGCTTCATGACCTGCTCTGGCTCCTTTGGACATGGTCCGCATCTGTTCTCTTCCTTACCAGATGCAATTTCAAATTACACCCTCTTCTCCCAAAAAATAAACTCTTTGTCCTCACTCACTCGTCTATATGATTTTTTTTTTTGCCTATGAGGCTATCACTTTGAGGATTACATAATTAGTAATCCATTGTCATAGATAAAACAAGCATAAATGAGAATTGAGAAGCAAGATAACAAATTAACTGATGCCCAATCAAATAAAAATGATAATTGATTCCCATGAACAAATTGTGGAAGATGGATGGAGGACAAATAATGGATGATTAATATACCAAGTTAGCATTTACGGATAGATATATATATAATCATAAACATACATATAGAGATAATAAGATAAATAGAGAAAGAGAACACAAGCAAGCTGAATAATCGTTAAGATTTGTTGTTGAACATAAATAGTAGTTCTTAAGATTTGTTGTTGAACATAAATGGTGATTCTTAAAGATTTGTTGTTGAACATAAATTGGGGATTTTCACATGGATAGATATAAAGTGTATATGTATATATAATAATGGGTTTAACTGTCAAGGGTATTTTAGGCATTTTCAAATTGGGCAAGGTCATGTGTGTCACATGCCTTAAGCTAGCATTAAATTTCAGACGGCAATCTAACGGTTTGCAACAATTGGAATAGTTTAGGGGGTTAAGGGTGACAGTTGAGGGGGGTTTTTTGGGAGAGAGAAGTTCAAAAGGGGGGGCCACATTAACCTCTACTAATTGACACAGAAAATATCAACAAATGTTTGAATTGTTCTGCTCTCAATCTGCACATATTTACAGTTTCAACTACCTCAACCGTTTGATTAACAACATAGCAGAAATTCACAGCTAGTAAAGACACTCAAAAGTTGGAAATTGCTCCTTGACAAATGGAAGGTACCCACATTTAGAGCGCCAAAGTATAAACAACCCAACAGTATAAAAAAATAAAAATAAAAAGAGAGAGAGAGAGAGAGAGAGAGAAATCAAGAAGCTATAAGCTTTTGCAATTTGATTCAGGGTTGAGTGGTCATTTGACTCATTTGAGTCTGACAGACCACTAATATGGTAAGGAAATAATTCAAGAGGCTCGCATACGCCACACTAGTAGTTGCAGATGAATATAGGGACCCCAGCAAATAATTTATTTTGAGAACTTAACAAAAAGGAGTGCTCACGGCTTTGCTGATCAAAAAAGTAATATGTAATTGATTAGCACTCAAATTAGCTGATGCACACCTCTTTGTATTGTCTGTAAGACTGCTTACCAACTCTCATCTGTATCTCCTACAGAAATTAAATGCTCATCATCCTTTAAGGGAAATAAACAGTCCCCTTAATTATAATAGTTTTGCTGTTGCTGGTGATGAAGATGAGGATGAGAGTGGTCCATCTTCAACATAGCTGTACAATAAAGGTTTGAAGATATTCAATATATATATGTATATCTAATGACTGTCAATGTTAGCCCTAGAAATAGATGGCCAATCTTCATAGGTTGATCGAATCAATGATTGAATAGCTTTAGAAACCATGAGCGGCAATTTCGATTGATAAAATGCGAATGCGGAGATATTGAGATTTTAGTTAGGGTTTCTATTTGTTCAGGACTTCAGATCTATCTTCATTCTTGGATTTTTTTTTTTTTTTTTTAATAATATCATTTGAATTGAGGAAAGAAAATGATGTTTTCAATTAATTTTCAGGTATTATTTTTTTGCTAATTTGTTGGGTTTTGATCCAAAGAGAAAGGAGAGATCTGAGATACGGTGTGTGTGTGTATATATATATATATAGTGGAAGGGTATAGTTATCCACTAACAAAAGATTTAATGGGATACTTTAGTCATTTCATGTGCTACATTAAAGTTAAAGAGGTTTGAGGTAAAATAGGTTACTGACATATGTTAGGTCACAGATCTAACAACTAGTTAACAGGAGGGGGTGGTAGTCAAACATCAAGATGGTGTTAGTGTAGCTTTCTTTCGCAAACATAGCAGCCGAGTGTAATTAAGGCAAAACTCAGGGAGTGTCAATGCACTTTACCAAATCTCTTATATAATTACAACAAAAAATATTTTCTGGCTTCAGCCCGGCATTGTATTGATTGATTATATAAATATTTATTTGCAGCTAGATCTCTTCTACTTATTCTAACACTCGGTGTCAAATAATTAAATACTCTGGAATTTTTGCTAGTTTGAGCATTGTAA